TAATCATCTGCTTTGGAAGGTTGATAGACAGGGGTAAATCATATGCCATATACATATATATACACTGTACATATGGACACATGTTTATTACTTTGACTGTGGTCTTATGTTCCTTGTCACTCACCTACCACAATTGTCTACACAAGCATCTCTGTGTAAGGACTAAACTAGTCCTTCACTGGTTGTGTCAGATGACACTGGCATGGCAATAAGGGGGTTCACTTACTGCTGATCTTGGAATCAGCAGTTGAACTTTGCTAGAATGGCTATTTTAAGGTTTTTGGGAAAGTAATAGAGTTTGGGGCTTGTTTAAACAACTCCCAAAAAATGGAGAGTTGACTCCCAAGCCCCTGAATCCCCAACTTTTGGGAGTCAAACCCCTAAAACCTTTGACTGGTTTGGGAGTTGACTCCCAAAAAAATAGGGGCTTGGTTAATTGACTCCCAAGAATTGGAGAGTCAACTCCCAAACCCCCCAAACCCCCAAATTTCCCCCAAATTCCCCGACTATTGGGAGTCAATCCCCCAAACCCATCAGCGGGTTTGGGAGTTGGATCCCCAAGAATTTTGAATAAAAAAATGAAATCCCTGGTGGGGAAGGGAGTCGATGCCCCAAAACCCACTGGGTTTTGGGGGGTTGGCAAACCAAAAACGGCCCCCAACAGCCGGGAGGGAGTCCTCCCGGCCATCAAGAGCACACTCTCCAGTCCAACACCAAGCTTGAGGGCGTACACTCTCAACTTGGCCGTATTGAGCATGTACACTCTTGGCCGCTGAGAGGTATCTCTCAACGGCCAAGAGAAAGCGAACTTAACACAAGTCCCCCTGGTGGGAGGCTCGCTGGTGTGACTGGCTGGGCGCGAAGCGCCCCCTCCCGCAGGGAGGGACTTGAAACTTAAAACGCATTTGCGGTGTGACCCAGAAGCACCGTTTTGGTGGTGGCGACCTTGTTTGCCCCACCACTCATTCATTACAACTCAAATTTATTTTTAATTCATGTGGATGAAAGATCTACACAATCCAGATTTTTAGATATTTTTTTCATTGCAAAAACCAGTTTGGTTCTGGTAGAAAACATGCAATGAAGTTCATGATTTTGAACTTTGATTTGGAAATTTGGCAGAGAGGCTTGAGCGCACTCTCAGTATAAGCATATTTTATGCCTGCAAAATGAGAATTTGTCTTTTTTCTGTTTGTTCTTTTAAAAAAGATTGGTATGGAAATAAAAATATGAAAAAATACAGATAGATCAAGGAGATGTCATAGAACAAGAAAAAAAGCACAATGAAATTTTGAGAGCAATAACATCAAAAACAGAGGGGAAAACACAAAAAAGGACCTCAAAATCATGCCTGCCTCATGCGGGCTTTGAGTAATACGTTGTAAGCCTCTCTGACGAGACTGGGCTGCCGCCCAGACCTGCCCGCAGACTCTCGTCACGAGAGGATTAGTTAAGCTCGAAGAGAAAGCCTCTTGGCCGTTGAGGGTGCACACCTCAACAGCCAAGGGTTCACCTCAATGGCCAAGAGATACACTCTTGGCCGTTGAGAGTGTACTACACCACAAACTTTGACCCACCGCGGGGCAACGTGAAAGTTCACGTGGAGCCAACCTCCCCGCCCCCGCCCAGCGGTTTTGGTGGGCTTCTTTGTGGGAGGTATTGGCAGCCGCAGTCGGTGCAACCTCCCACGCCGGCTTCATGTGCTGCCCACGGTTGGCATAGCAGCTGACACTGGCCTTCCGTTGGTGCTGCCATTGGTTGATTATTTGACAAGGGGCTTTTGTTGGCAACCTCAACTAAGCCGCATGGCATAATTGCTAACCAACGGCATTCTGAGAGCTAACCAACAGCACCAACGGAAGTAGCCTGCCATTGCCCCAACGTGAAACATTATTATTATAATAATAATAATAAAATCTCCCAGCCGGATCAATAAATTGTAATTGAAACTGACAGGTATGTTTTCTCATAAAACCACCTGCCAGATTGTTTATTATCAAAAAAACAGCACAAACAGAAACTTGTTTGAAAAAGAGAAATTGATCTTTTGGGAACTCTCAACTGGACATTTGAGGAAAAAACAACAAAACCAGTGAGATTGAAGAGTTGATTAATTAGAAACAACATGTGTAGATTGATCACCTGCAGGGATGATTATCAAAGTGAAACTCTGTTTATCAACAGATTTTGGAGAGATGAAATAACCTATTTGAGAAGAGCGGGGACAATGTGGTAAGATTGATCAAACCCATAGATCTAGTTAAAAACATTTTATTACACATAAATAGTGTTTAAGATGTTAGAGAAGAAGGGGTAAAATATAGAATAAAATGTATAATAATTACTGGGTTAAAAACATAGCTAAAATAAAGCACAAATCAGGCCTAAAATACACAACTCCTTATGAATAATAATTATACAAATAGACTGTAAAAACACATAAAGAGATACTACATCCATCTTAGATTGGTAAATCAAGGTATTGATCAGAAAGTACTTCACAGACTAGATCTAGAAAATAACTCTTATACTAATTAGTCTAAGAATACCATTCTCATATTAATTAATCTAAGAATGGGCCTCATATAGTAGATTTACAACCTCTTGTATTAGATAGGCACTTAGAGACTAATTCATATCAGACTAGGCCATCTCAGAGTAGTAAAAACCACTCTAGAAGTACCCTTCTCAGACAAACTTGTGTTCAGGCCAAAACCCATGTACTGTAGAACAAATTGTCTATAAATAGAGGCTCCTCTGGCTCATGTTTTCCTTTTTCCCTCCTCATGCTAGCTACAGAACAGTAATCAGAGATATTACTCAGCTTTCATCACCCTTGATTAAGAGATCCAGAGATTATTAGAGCCCTTGAACTTCCCTTACCTCAATTTTGGCCATAGAAAAGTAATTCTGAAATATTGCTTAGCCATTCTCACCTCTTTGAAAGAAATTAGAGAAATAAGTGTACCTTTTATCAGAGCCCAGAGAAACCAGAGAGTCATATTAGAACAGAGAACCAGAGAGAATTTATAACAGATTTAACAGAGACACCCTTCAGAAACCCTCACTCCCCAGAAAACCCCCTTAAACTCCTTACCTCCTCAACAGGTATTCTTAAGCAACAATAACAGTAGTACCAACACTAAGATAAATTTAGAAATAAGCCACACTCTTATTTTTCTTAGTGTAAATTTCCCGCAAGCTAGACAGGAGGGCAGTCTCACCCACACACCAATACTAATTCTACTATTCCATAGTCTTATTAGCTATTTTATCCCCTCCAAGCTCTTTACTCACTTGCTGAGCAGTTCCACAACGATTCCACTGTTGAAGGAATCTTGAACCTCTTTGAGGGTAGGAACAGAAAAATCTTCTTGGTTCATGGTCTTATAGTCCCTCTTGTTCAAGAAAAGCTGGAATTCTTGGTTCAGGACAAGTGTTGAATGGCTATTGCAAGAAAAAAAAATGGTGTCATTAACAACAAGACAAGGGGGATGAGATAAATAAAATTGAATGCTTACTGTTGTTGTAACTTGCATGATGAACCTCTTAGGATAGCCAGTTGCTTGTCAATTTCTGTCCATTGAGAATCTTTCTTGAATCTATGTACATAGAAATATACCATAACTAGTCGTGCATAGCACATGTGGTATCACATTGCGTAGTTGTTAATTAATTGATGATCAATCTTGCTTGTCATCTTGTTTCCCTTTGGTGGAAGATCTACATAAATCTTCAAAGTAAAACACATCACTTGAATATTACTCATACAAATGTAGCTGGCTGATTAATTGAGTACTCACAGAAGTTAACATTGCCTTCTGATTTGGCACAGAACCATTGATAGTTATCCTCTTTGTCTCGAGGATGTTGGTCAAAATTTAGAAAAGACAATAAAACAAAGAATCAGGTTATGTTACTGGGAGTATGCAACATGAAAACTCACAAGTACACATAGATTGCTGCGTTGGTACTTCAAAAGTTCTCCCATTGCATCACAATAAGTTGAAGGAGATTTTGGAATGTCTTGTGCCATTGCCGATTCAAGATGATCTTTCTTCCACGTGTCTGGCTGCTTTTTGATTGCGTCCTGGGGAACGGTAGATTGGGGTTTGCAACGATAAGAGGCAGGATAGAATCATAAGGATCTTACAAGGGTTTGATAGTGCAGAGTTTTTGGGAGAGCACCGTTGTGGAACTCCTATCGTGCCAGGTGGTAGGCAGTTGGTTGAAGGGATGGTGCTTTGAGGGCTGCCTTCAAGTGGGGTCTGGATGAGTGAGCTGAGATCTGAACAAAACACGTTGGGGTTGGTTGGTTTTCTGAGAGGGGACAACAGAAGTTGATTTCTGTGGCGGTTGTTGAACTTGAGGATTGGTGTGTATGAGGATCAGATGAATCAATAATAAAAAGATCAATAAGAAATGATGGGTCTATCTTGGATCAGATCAGAGTGCCATGCTTCCCCATCATCTCAGTTCAAACTGAACTTTGACTCTGGGGAGTGACATGTCACAGACATGTCATCACATCCCTAACTACAACACAACTCAACCAAAAAACAAAAACAACACAACACAACACAACACAACACACACAACACAACACAACACACACAACACAACAAAACAAACAAAACAAGACAAAACAAGACAAGACAAAACAAAACAAAATAAAATAATCAACAGTGAAATAAGCCAACATCCTGAGATGTCTTAGGACCAAGAAAATTAAACAAGACTGTCTGCTGAGTAGGTGATTCGAAAAAGATAATAAGGAATGATAAAATGATAAAATAAAAATAAAATCAAGATGAATGAAAAATAATATAAGAGGAAGTAAAATAATAAAATGAAACAAAAACATAGTAAAATAATATAATGAAGGAAACTGTTGGACTGAGAGGGGATTTGAGATGATATTGTAGAAATCTTGAGGCTTGAGGATATTGATAAGTTGAAAATTGAAATTTGAAATTCGACCTTGAGGGGGTCTGTACCGTTTAGAACACCACACCGTTCCTATGGGGGTTGTTTGAGTATGCTTTGATGGTTGGTTCAAGTAAGAGAATGCAAGCCTTTTTTCTGACAAAGATCTAATTCATTGTGGGTAAGATATCAGTAAGGCAGAAACAAATCATAAATCCATCTAGATTGATGGAATTGTAATCGCCTGACCTTGAAAACTTGATCAAACTCAAGAGTTTCAGCTGGTTGGGGACCATTGAGTTGGTGATAGGCGCCATTTGCAAAAATCACTGCAGTGTTCCCTTCTTCCGGGACAAACTTTGGATGATATGAAAGGGAAGGATTGAAAATGAGCTAAACAATTAAATTAGAATTGAAGAAGATTGAGTGGAGGGAAGTACCTTGCTAGCGAGAAGAGCAATCTTCAAATGCTGAGGATCGAGTTTCAACTCAGACTGGAGTTTTTCACAGACCTCCTCAAAGGTATCTTGGTCACAATGGGAGGCAGATTGATCGATCATATTGACATCGCGGTCAGAGTTAGACAAAGGGTTGAATAGAGAGTGGGGATCAGTACGTTCAAACTTGTTAGATGAATGATGATTGCCAGGTTCTGGAGCAAGGGATGAGGGTTTGTCATTGACTCCTTGAAATACGGGGCTAGGATCATCAAGATTCCCATGGACAATATCATCCATGTTCAATGACATTGCAATGACAAGGAATGAAGGGTTGAGAGAAAGAGAAAGATAAACAATCAATCAATGTGATTGATGGAGAGAGGATGATGGTCAGAAGGTTGGGAATGAGAGATGCGGGAGGGAAAGGAAGCTCAGTGAATTTTATACCATTTTTCCAGGCTGAATGGATGTTTAAAAGGTTGATACTGGAGAAAAGGTAAAGGACAACAGTTGGATCCAGAACTGAAAAACTGGCTAAGTCATTCAAATCTGTCTAATGCAATTCAATCACCCTCCACCAAATTCTCGAAGTTGCAACTGGATAATATTTTTTTGTTAAACATTTGGTTAGCTTGCAAGAAGACAATGGATACCAATCTAAAGTGGAGGCCAATCATAAATTTTTGTGGACACATGATAAAAAAATAACTTGCCTCTTTTTTTGAAGACTTTGTCAAAAGGAATACTTCATTGGGAAAAAAGTATGAATTTTGCCTATGTAAAGGAAGGAGCACAACTAATTGAAGACAACATACCATGAACAAACATCATCAAAATCTAGTCCAAGTGAATAAAGATCACAAAATTCAAAAATCTGCTTGGAGGGCCGCATTTGAGGTTGAATAATGAGGTGACAATAGGCAACATTGATGCAACTAATCGGCTTGAGCATGTAATTGGTATAAATGACAAATGGGAAAAAGTCAAAAATGATGGAAGCGGATTGGACAAAGCCAAGGAGATTCCACCGGGAACATTTGGGGAACCTGAAGGAGAATTGGATGACAAGGAGGCCAAGCTGAGTTGGAGGGACTTTGTTAAAGTGGTGGTTTATCAGATCTCAACCTCAACTCTTCCAGCCCTCTTTATTGTTGCCAAGAAGAGGAGATTGATAAACTAGAACCCAATTGTTGAAATTCTGTAATCCACAGTGTTCTAAATATCAGCACATCAGGCATGGACTTGGTAGCCTAGTTGGTAAAGGCAGCACTTCTAGTATAGTGTCTTAGCTTCAAGCTAAGGTCTCTGGTTCAAATCCTGCCCTAGTCAATTTTTTTCTGCTAACTGTCTGAAAAATGCATTGTTAATTTTAACACCAATAACTCAGCCTGGTACCCATTCTTGAATAGAGAGGTAAGCAAAATCAATACATACTCAAATTATCTGAGCAAGCCGAGGCGAAATGAAAGTAGAAAAACTTACAAATTGATTGAATTTCATTACCTTGTTGGTTTGAAGCTTCTTGGGTACTTACACAAGCTGATTTTCCCGGGATATGTATCATCTGATTGTGAGCCTGGGTCTCTATAGTGACAGCAGGACACAAGAATTTGGGGGGCACTTTTGAATGTATTTCTTAAGAAAAGAGAAATACAAATAAAAGTAGAAAAAAGGGGAATGAAAGACTGAGAGAAAGAGATGATATTTTTGTTCTTTATTTATTTTAAGAAGATGAATTAAGTTAAGCAGTCTTACTTTCCACTAAGGATGGCTGGTAATAAGCAGAGCTAACTCTGACGCCTCCAAATCAACAGAAACTGAAATGGGATATTGAACTGATGAATCAGATCAATCCACAATTTTTTAGATCAAGGATCAAGGCTCTTTAAAGGGAAACCTATGTAGTTTTCAGTTATACTACCAAACAGGGAGAATTAAGGTAATAGCAGCTATGGCTTGCTTTCTTGGATCAGGGCTTTGGTTTGGAGGAGTAGAGAAAAGGTTGAGAGAGACTGAGAGAATAAACAAGCAGAAAGATGCTAGCTTAACTTATGAGAAGAGACTTACTAATGATACCAATGACACTGATTAGTGGGAAAGGTAGGAAAAGTGAGGTCCTTCTGGTTGATAAGTGTTTGCTTGATCTGGGTCTGGTTGTTGGTGTTCTGTGTTGGTCTGGAGTCTGAAAATCCTCTGGAAGCGGAATCAACAAGCTCAGAGAGGATTTTCAAAGTTGGATTATGTAATCTGGCATGTACATGTGGTAGAGGGAGCTGAAACCTAAGGTTGGAATAATTCTTGGAGTACTGTGAATTGTTACAAAGTCAATGAAGGAATGAAGTTGGGTAAAAGTGGTCAGTGGTGACTAGGGTTAATTTTACACCAGGAATCCATTTCTGAAGTCAGAAAGGTTAAAAGTCTTAAGATAAAAAAGATATGATAGTATTTTGAATAGAAATGGGCAGTTTTGGCAGTCTTTTGGCCAACTTGGTTGGCTCTAAGGCTGACACTGATACAAAGTACAGCAAACACAGGAAAGCTTGCGGTTTCGCGAGCTAGAAAATCTCGACCAAATTTTCTTACGACCTCATGCAGTCTCCTGTATCCCTTCCAAACATTCCAATTCTTCCGATCCCTTCTCATCTTTTCTCTCTCTACTCGGCTGCCATACATTGCCAGCCATGGCCCCCGATCCCGGCCCCCTCCCCAGCTGCCCCAACCACAACCAGCCGCCAGTAGCCCCAGCCATTTGCCAGGCCAAATCATCAATTCATAGGATTCCCCTTTCCATTGTTCACATCCGCCGTTCGCACTTATCTGATCAACCAATAACAATTACAAGCGTAAGTCCAATCTCTTAATCATACGAGGTAGGATTTGCTTTAATGCTGACCCATACGGTTTTATAGTTTTCGGGAATGGCCCATTCCTCCAATGGCAGTGGCCAAGTTCCCCCGCTCCCTTTTTCAAATCCCCCTGATGGATCACAGGAGTCCTGGTTAGGACCGTCGCAATCGGCCGACCGCGCCGAATCTTTCCGGTTGTTCCATGACAACAACCCTTGCACCGAATCTCAATTCAAGGCGGCTGCAAATGCGACGAGGGCCTACAAACTGGCGCATTCAAATGGAGGCCCAACGCCGCCCCAGCCGGACCCTCCAAGGCCTCACCTGCGCCCGATCTATCTCGACTACCTGGTATATAACCGATCCGTGGCGAGCCAGCTTGGCCAATCCTCTGGCTCAAAAGAATGGGATTGTGTAACCCCGCCCACGAAAAGCGAGACGGTTTGGAAGGTCGACTTGGCGTTCTATTCGTGGGCCAAGTGTCAGCGGGAGGTAATCAAGATGTGTGGTTCAACCTGCGAGCATATCGAGGCTCATCTCCACAGGCTCCAGCGAGAAGGATTGCTCAAGTGGCAATGCATTCTACATCGGGACGGCCTCTTTGCGCAGAACAAGAATTATTATGTCAAAGACGATGCTGGTTTTTCCCCTTTTGTCCAGGCTGTCAACAATGCGACAAATAAGGCGATGATCAAGATCATCATGGACGATCCGACAAGGTCTGCGAAGGACTCTGAAGAGGTGAGTTCATACTTCTCTATTTGACTGGCCGCGCAGGAATGCTTGTTTCTGATAATCTGACCGGGGATTGAATGGATTTTGATTGTCGTCAGGCAAAAAAGGTAGCTGACAGTTTGGCGTTGAACTATGCGGACGAAGACACTCGACTGGCTTTGCAGCGTGTGCATACCCGCCTGGCTGCAAATGTAAGTATCCCTCTTGCTCTTCTCCGGGTGGGTAATTCCCAGCTGACCCTCCCTGCTGTCCCATTTAGCCCAAGGCAGATGTCAGTGCACAGGAACGGGGCTGACTGGTGGCAGAGATCACGCGTCACATCAAGGTCAAATACGGATGTGACGCGGAATCCATGCGTGTGCGCAATCCTGACAACCCAAAGAGATCGATCCGAGTGACAACCGATGCCCTCCGGGCGTGGAGTCGGGCTATGCTCCACGGGGCCCCTGGGGTCAACTTCGATAACCCGCCGAAGTGTAAAGAGTGCATCCCGGAGGATGTTGCTGTCCTCACGCTTGATGAATTGGCCTCAAAGCAGGAGGCCCGAATGTCACGACACACGCGGACGTCCTCCCCATCGAAGCGGTCCAGTTCAGGTTCAAAGTCCCCCATGAAATCTCCAGCGGTTGGGGTCCCGGGAACCCCGCTTTTCTTGGGTGACAAACCCAGCGGATTGGTCTTCACGCCGGCCCGCCGTTCCGCCTCTGGACGGATCTTGCCTCCTCGGCTGATGCCCGGGGAAGCCTTGCAATCAGTTGACCAGAGTGCCGCGCTTGCCCGCCGATCATCGATCCACACGAATAGCGCCTCGATCTCTGTCAACAGCGATTCTGAGGCCGTGCGGGTGGACCTGGTTGGAGCCGAGGACTATGAGGACCTCACTGGGCCCAGTGGGCACCAGGAGGACAGTTGGCGTCCTTCAACCCCAGTGGAAGACGACGTCCCGAGGGATGTCAGCACACTAGGGACAGACATCGAAGTCCTTCCTGCGGGTACCGTCCTTCGATCGCCTTCTCGCAAGCTGGCGCGCAGTCCGGTCGGCGATGGGATAGTTCACAACTTCAGTCGGCTGGAATTCGAGCGGCCTCGGTCTCCGTCAAGATACCTCTCGGTGTCCCCGACTCGCAAACGCCCAGGCTCACAGGCGTCCTCGTACCCTTCCGTTGACATGTCAAATAAGGCCCCTTTGAATGAGCTAGGTCGAGCCCTGTCAATCGATGGATTCTTGCGACTCTGTAATTTCACAGACGACGACCACGTGCCTAGAGTGTTAATCTCCCTCAGCCACATTCGCCGATGGGATTTCTTCCTCGACACTAACTTCTATGTTCTCCAAAAGATGGGGTTCCCATACCCCATAGCCACCCAACTATTGAAGGGGGCCAAGTGGCTCGAGGCCACTCACGTTCAACCGAGCCACCCCGGAAAGCCCACTCTTGAATCATCACCCAAACTCCCCTGTTCAGCCGGCCCGGACCCTAAATCCTTACCTGAACCCGCCCCTGCCACTCATGATCGTGACGCGCCTCCTGTTGCTGGGCCATCCAGAGCAGGGTTGGCCTGTAGTACAACCGATGGCGACCTTCCTGAATCAATCCCCGACTCAAGCGAAGCCGACGATGGACGCCCGAGCCTTGACCATGGTGGGTCCAGTTTGGATCCAGATTACCAACCGTCCCCCAAATATTGAAACCAACATTGTGGTATCAGATCTTAGTATTACCCCCCGGTTTATATGTCCCTCATCAATCTGTTTTTCCATCAATCTGTTTTTCCTCTTGTCTTCCATTATGACCCCATGCCAGAGATGCTGTTTTTTTTTTTTTTGTTAGTACTCGCGCTCCCCGGCTTGTGCCTCATGTATTTTTTTTTCCAGCAATGAAAGCATGTGGGTCTCCAAAATATTCCTAGCTGCCCGGGAACAGGCGAGCCAAGGCCTGCCAGCGCTCCCCGGCTTGTGCCTCATGTGAATTTCTTCCCAGCAAAGAACCCCTGTGGGTCTTCAAAACATTCCCATCTCTGTGGCCCCCTGATTAGCCAGGGCATCAGCACGCAAGCCAAGGCCTGCCACAGAGGCGTGTGACTCATGATCGATTCATGAAATCTTGTCGCGGCCGGACACATGGCAACTAGACAAGCGTCAGATGCTTGCTTATGGTCTTTTGTAAGGACCGGTGATCTTCGCCTCGGCCGTTACAATTGAGAGGCACCTCTTCACACGTCACCTAATGAAAGAGGGTGACTCGTCGCCTAAGGCCACTGACACATCATTGGACTAACTCAATTAACTCAATATGTGAGATTTCATTAGCAGAAGAGGACGGACTGGGCCTAATTCAGGCAATCAAACAATACCAGATGGATTTCCACATACAACCTAGCAGGACATGTCAAGAACAACTAGCAATTAGGAATGAGCAGAAAATCCGAGCAAGGCCAATGGCCCATTGGGGGACATGACAATAACAACTAGCCAATAAGAATGAGCAGAAAACCAGAGCAAGGCCAATGGGACACGCCGGGCCCCACGAGTCGCAAAGTCCAATCGAGCAGCGCAATGGGGTTGAAGACCGGAAGTGCCCTTAAGCTCGATAGCCGGAACCTCGGAAAAGCGCTCGCATTAACTCGGGGGTGACGAAAGTTGGTAAGAAGTCTTTGATGATCTCTGCATCTTCCGCGGTACCTGTCAATATCTCGGCCCTTTTCAATTTGGATTTGAGGACCGAGAAGACCTTCTCAATTGGGTTAAGGTCGGGGGAGTACGGGGGAAGATAGAAGAGCAGAACATCTGCCGCGTCACAGATCTCGGCAATTCGGCCTCCATGATGAATCGGTGCGTTGTCCATAACGAGAATACTGTTCGGACCTGGGAAGGGATTCATCACCGGGATCTACCACCAAGCGAACCAGTGTGAGCCCCACCAGACAAAACCCCGACCAAGAGAGAATCAACCGGGCTTGAAAAAACTGACCAACACCTCTTCGATAAAATATTCCATGTCCAGACGGCACATTGTGCCCTCCTGTGCAATACTAGCCAGAAGCCCGTCGCAAGAGACCGCCGGCAATACCGAGATTCGACTAGCTCGCAATGGCTTCGGCAACCTTTGAGTGCGACGCCCGCGGGGAGCCCATGCACGGTCTCGTGAGTGCGTCCCAAGGGATACTCCACACTCGTCTGCGGGGCAACTTGGTCAGCAGAGAGATAAGCAGCACATGGAATAGTGAGCAGTCCAACTTACCTAGGAAGACAAGGTAGTTGGCCGCAAAGGCGCCGATTTCGTCAGCATAGCCGGCCCGAGCCAGCTCACTTTGATTCGGGTTCACCGTCCTTGCGACCTTCTTGGTCATGTTCAGACGGCAATGCAACTCGGCCAAAATGGTGCTTGAGGGGTGGAGGGTGCCTGTCATTGCCTGAATGTGGCTCTGGATCTCATCCACATACAAGGTGGGTTCGGCCTCAAGTGCGTTCATGACAAATTCAGCCTCCTCGCGGGTGAAGGCCAACGGGCGTCCTTGGTCCAGATAGAGGCTCGGATCGCGCACCACATCGGCCGTTTGTCGGTAGAGCTGAACCCATCTGGCCAGTGAATCCGGAGACACGGTGTAACCAATCGTGTCGTTTATGTAGTTGAGGGATTTTCCACCCAGGCTCATTTTCACGACAATGGCCTTGACGTCGCGGGCATACTTGACAAAAACCATCCTGGCTGCAAAAAAATGAGTCAGTGAGACAGACCTGTCAGACGCAGTTGAGGAGATAAGGAGACCAACCAGTTGCTGAACTCGTCCGAACAAGAAGGGCGGGAAAGAATCGACGACAAGAAATGGAGTGAAAAAATCTTCCGAGCGGATTTTGGTGGTGGATGGCTGGCTGGGGTTGTGGGTGGGTTGGGGCTACTGGTGGCTGGTTGTGGTTGGGGCAGCTGGGGAGGGGGCCGGGATCGGGGGCCATGGCTGGCAATGTATGGCAGCCGAGTAGAGAGAGAAAAGATGAGAAGGGATCGGAAGAATTGGAATGTTTGGAAGGGATACAGGAGACTGCATGAGGTCGTAAGAAAATTTGGTCGAGATTTTCTAGCTCGCAAAACCGCAAGCTTTCCTGTGTTTGCTGTATCTTGATGATATATCATGTCAGTCTTCCCCGCTGGGAAGCCTTGCAATTAATGCGAGCAAAGATCCGGACCCTGATCAATTGCACTATAGTTGAAGAGGAAACAGTGCTTGGTTAGCCAGTTTTTGGATTAAATGCAAGAAAATTGATTAAAGATGTGAGATGAAATTACCCAATGTTCTCTGTGCAGGTGAAATTCTTGAGCTGACTTGGCACAAACCCAATGGTTTGGTTTGAATAGGATTTGATGAACCCTTTGGTCTCACCACACCTGCATTTCTTTCCGGAAGAAACACACAGAAAAAACATCTACAAAAGTTCACAATCTACAAAGTGGCTGAAACATACAGAACCGGATCTTCGAGTGCAGATGGTGGAATCAAATGATAAACACTTCTGCCTTTTTGAACCAGCCTGTTTGATATCTTCCGAAATTATTATTCCTATCTTCTTCTACACTGAATAAAATAATCTGTTTGCCAAGTGCTATCCTACTGAGTTCAAATCCAACAAAAATAGTTCCAAGGTTCAGATTGGAATTCCTCATTGTCAGCCACAGAGCACATTTCACAGTACGTGAAATGTACCTAGTAACTGCAATAATAATAGATAATTGAATACTGGAAAATACTATAAATTGTTGTTAAAATAATATATAAATAAATATGTATTTACATTTAATCTTAATTCATAATTTATAGTTAATAATTCTATAATTAACTGTGAAATCCCCTTGAGTATTGTACATATAATATCACTAGGATTTCACAGAAATATCATTAGAATAAAGTATCAGAACAATGTTTACTCTTATACATTATGTACACATTTTATAAGCCATAAATAATTACATATGTATAAAGAATCAGCTAATAGAAGCGTGAAATGGAGGAGGAATAAGCTATATACATTTATCTGAAGCTTACCCATCCTTGATCACATCATCAGGGCATCAGATTGCATCATAACCCTCTTGGATGGCGCCATCAGGACCCTTTTGTGCTCTAATTCAAAGCTTGCATAATTCAAAGCAGCCTACACGGGAAAGGAGCCCAAATTCTACATGCAAGACTGAATTATGCATGAAGGACATGCATTTCTCATGATCACAAGCTTGCATAAGCAGAGTTACACGTATGCAACCAACTCTACAATTGTACAGCCCCTGCACAGTAACTGTAGCCTTTTCAATTACGTGAGAAATAGGCCACAAAACTCAATTATGCATGTATGATCTCATGTCCTAGGACCTTCCACCCATGCATAGCACTGCACAGCTGCAGCTCCCATCCTTACACGAAATTGTAGAGCTGCTAAGAAGCTCCCTAGTGCCCTGAGGGCCTCTCCTCTTCCCCTGAGCCTCCTGTAGAATATTTAAGGAGCCCTGATTCCTACCTTTTCCCCCCAGGAAATTCTACTAGCATCAAACCAACACTTGTACCGTGTTTATTAGTGATTAAAACCACCAATAACCTTACAAAACAGCTACCTTAGACCTAAATAGATTTACTTTGCTCAGATTCAAGGCATTTCTACTTATCTCTATTGCATAAAGAATTATCCCCCTGGTTAAACAATTCTGGTCCTTAAGTGTACATACACTTATTCATCTGGATTATTGTTAAAAGACTTGATCCCAAGTGAGTAGAAGAATTCCTCACATTGGAAGCCTATTAATCCACGTAACAGGATTGATCTGGATGCCCAATTGAATAATTGGATGAGTCAGCAGTAGAAGTACCATTCCTCACTGACTCCTCCCTGTTTCTTTTACAGGTTGAGGGATTTAACCACGAATAAACCTTCTCAATTATTCTTCTTGTTAACACTCAGAGCACAACCCTTACAGGTTAGTAGCATAGAGGCTGACACTCATAACATCTCTTTTGATAATCAAAATCTGAAAAAACATTTTAGTGGAAAATTTGGACTTAACCTATGAGGAGATTATGATGAGCAATGGTTTGGTGTTATCAGCATGCTTTGGGGGAAAGATCCATAGTGAGAATTCCAGTCATTAATCAAATTGATTATAAATATACAGTGGGGGACACCATATTACTATAACAAATTTTACAGTGTCCAAAATGTTGAGGAAGAAAAACCCAAAAACTCACCCCTCTGGATGGCAAAAAAGTGTGATTTTCTAGGCCAATCTGCCCAGAAAACCCACCTACAGTATGAATTCCAGTTTAATCTCAGGTCTCAGACCCACCCAAATTGCCCAAAAGTCTTCCTGAGGGGATTATCACAGGGACTGGCATTGGCATAGGCATATATGAGGTGGTTACACACATAAATATATCCACTTGAACTCCATGCAAATTTTCTTCAGGCTATCTACAAGTCCATGTTTAGGTACCAACTACATCCTTATGGACTTGAAAGCCATTTTTAATGACATGTGTCCGAAATTATGGATTTCAAAAAGTGAAAAAAGAGAACCATTGGTCTGATTGCAAAACCAAATAAGAAATGGAAAGTACACACTCCAAAAAGCCCAAAAATAACACTTTTGGGGTTGAACACCACATATGGCAGACAAAAATTCAGCCGGCATGGTACACTCAACTTTTGCTGGTGGGATGTTACAGTAATATGGTGTCCCCCACTTCATTGGCATTTTTTTTCTAAATTTGCTTGAAAAGAAATTGATGAGAAGCACAACTGGAATGCCAACATAAATTTACCAAATCCTTGGAGAAAAAAATTGCATGGGAAAATCTTACAAAATATTCCTATTACTCTATAATGTGACAATACATCTGGAAACAAACCTAAAACTAGAATAAACACATCTCATATTATTTCACACTTGCCAGCTTACCCCCTCAATTTTCAAATCAACAATTCAACTGTCATTTTCTTTGCACCTCAAATATTTCCAGACCTTTGGAACTGGGAGAGATGGTTGTTAAACAGTTCAAGTGGGATTCCTATCATTTTAAAATTCTTCTGTTTATCATTTTTTTGATCTATATTCTCTAATCCATTTTGTTTTTTTATTCATTTAAGTGAAATAGCCATTCATGGATTTGATGCATATGATATTACAATCCACCAGAAAGTTCATGTTATGGCCACTGTTTTATGTATCTTAGCTGATTCACCAATGCACACCGAATTTACAAACACACCAGTTCCTGGGAATTCTCTGAATCCTTGTCGATATTGTGTCTTAAATTCAAAAAGCTTGAAAGCCAGGAGAAAAGTTCCATACATTTCACAGTTTTTACAGAAAAACTTGCATGGATCAAATGTATTTTTTGATTATTTTATTAGTATCATTTTCCAGAAACATTCTAACTTTGATTGCCTTTTACCTTTTTGAAATAGTGTCCAAACCAATTCAGAACCATGGAAACAACCACTGAAAACTCAAAAAAACTCTGGGCGCATGCCAAAGAGACACTCAATGAAGACAAATTGGACAACAAATCTTCTGAACTTGGTGTTCAAGATCAAATCAGCCAAACATTTTCCAGAAGGTTATTTGAATTTGATGCAGAAAAAATGGATTTACTTGAGGATAAACAAGAAGTACCAGATCATATGGATCAAGAAATTCCTCAAGATATGATGGATATGGAAGAGAATGAATTCAGTAGAATGTTTAATCCTTTCTTGGAGTTGAAAGATTCTTATTTCACTTTTTCTATCTAATTTTTTTTTCTGACTTTATCCTCTCTGTTTCCTTTTTTCTTAGGTTTTGACATGGTCAGGGATACGCCTGTTGAAGTCTTACACATCTTCTTACTTGGTGCGGTAAAGTACTTATTTAGAAATTTCATGAAAGGATTAGATGAAAAAGAAAAAAAAGAACTCTTATTCCTATGGAAATCTTTCAACACCAATTATCTCAAAATCCCATCCATCACGAACTTATCACAAGTCTCCAGCTGCGGCGCGCGCATCTGGCAGCGTAGCGCTGGCCAGGCGGTTCCCGAAGGGAACTCCCCGCAGGGGAGACTTGGGCCAGAGGTCACCAAACTCAGGTGCTGAGTTTGGATTGTTTTGGTGGGAGCGTCACAAGATTTGCAATCATGACGCTCCCTCAAAAGGTTATGGATGTTTGGCCCGGAATTCTTGAAGGGCTAGATCATCCTATTGATCCAGCCCAAACTCAGAAGTTGTACACCACAACTGGAATTAAGATTGATTTTCTAAAAGTAAGATTTGAACTTTTTTTGAGCTCAAATGAGGGGTTTGCTCAACTTGGGCCCACCAAAATAAGTCAACCTGAGTTGAAAAGTTGATGTTTTCAAAACCTTTCTGTAAATGATTAACAAAAAAATAAAAAAAAACAGAACACAGGGAAATGTGGACAAGAAGCAGACCCTTCTTGGTCTACACGGAAATTATATAAATGTGGATGAAGAAGAGTGTAGTCAGAAAAATACACAAAAAAACGGGTTTCAAGCCCAATTTTGAAAACTCACCACACGGGGATCACCACATCTGTTCTAGGCCTCCACTGGCGTGGACAGCTCCGCTGCTTGCTCCTGCTCCCGCCGTGGAGGCCCAGTTAGGCTTGCATCCATCAGACCCAAAAGTATGGTACAATATTCTTCAAGTTTAGTTGGTAAAGACTTTAGAATAATTCTTCAAGCAGCTCCTTTCATCTTCTTCCAGTTCATGAACCCATCTGATATCAAGCTCTGGGCTTCTCGCTGTCATCTGGGCTCTTTAATCTTTCAAACTCATATTGTAGACATGGACACTTATATTTCTGACTTGAAGAATCATATTGATATATTTTTAAGGGGCTTGAAAAAATGACTCCTAAATTTTAGGCAACAACTCCTGTTTGGTCATCAACGTCACGAGGACTGTCTGTTGACAACTCCTGGACTAACTCTGGACCCAGGGCTTGGTCCGGGGAGTCGCCAGACTAACATGGTTTTTTATGGGAGTCGTCCACCCATTTTCATTTTTTTTTTTTGGGAGTCGTCCACCCAATAATTGGGAATCGTTGCTCCCAATTCTCATCTTTATTTTCTGATTTTCCTTTTTTTTTGACTGGGAGTCGTCAGGATAATGTTGCCTGACAATATTACATGGTCAAAAATACCAGCTAATTCCTCAATGAAAAGGGAAAAAAAATCAGTGAGACAAAATATATCCAGCTTTGTATGTGGTTTCATAAGAGAAAATATAGAAAGTGTGCTGAAAGGTAAAATTATGGTAACTATGAATTTTTATCACAATGAAAACTATGTCTTGAATAATGCCTTTGATGTGTCCCCCAAATTCATTCCTACACACTCAATTATCCTTATTTTTTGGAATTTCAATCTCATTGCCTACACTTTGAAAGGTTTCAAAATTGATGGCTGTATCCCTTTTGCATTCAAATAAAAATTGTATATGGTACAAATTATGCAAGAAACGGGGTACGCTCATCTATTAAGATTGAAGCTTTTATTTTTAGTGAAATTGGACTTCACCATTCAATTCTAAACATTTGTAAATGTAGGAAATAAATTTCAAATTTCAAAAAATGCTCAAAATTAAGCCGGTAAAAACCAATTAAAAAACCATCAAAAAAACCTGTCCAACACAGTATTCAGTAACAAGCGCTGATTATTATGTAAAATGGTTGTTACCATCATTTTAATCATGTCTTAAAGTGTGGGAAATAAATTTAAAATGTCAAAAAATATTGAGAAATAACATGTAAAGAATTAATTGAAAAAAGTGTCTAGTTTCAGTATTAAAACTGAACCGTTGAGTTTTAAGAAAATTAAATGTTACCATTAAATTCTACCACTTTTAAATGTAGTAAAAACCTTTAAAATTTTAAAAAAGCATAAAAAATAATTAGGTACACACATGTATGCAAACAATTGAGTGAAAAAGTGAAGAATTAAATTAAAAAACGGTGTCAAATGCAGTAATCAAGATGTATTTTTCATTTTGATGCCAAATTATTGTCACCATGAAAATTTGAAATGTCAAAAAAGAATGAAAATTAACCTGTAGAAATTTAAGTGAAGAAATGTGTCTAATTTCAGTATTAAAAATGAACCGTTGAGTTTTAAAAAAATTAGATTGCACGATTAAATTCTACGCACATTGAAACCTAAGAAATAATTTTAAAATTTCACAAAAGCATAAAAAATAAGGTACATACATGCCTGCAAACAATTAATTGAAAAATAAGTGGAAAAAAAGTAATAATTAAAGTTTGTTTATTTGGAAAATGGTTTTTACCGTTAAGTTCTACGCCTTTTATAGTGTAGGAAACAATTTTAAAAATTCAAAAAAACTCGAAAAATAAGCCATAAAAAATTAAATACAAAACCGCGTCTAAACGTGGAAACCGCGTGTGCTGCGCGCAGCAGAAACACGTCTCAACACAGAAAAACCGGGGTTTTTTATTAATTCCCTTTATAAAATATGGTAATAATCATTTCTAATCCAAATGAAAGGTTGTTTTTCAATTTTGTGTTGGACAGGTTTTTTTATGTGTTTTATTTTTACAGGCTTCATTTTCATTATTTTTTTGAATTTTAATTTATTTCCTGTTGAGATACTTGTGGCATGTCCACCGTTGTTAGTGTGCTTTCTTCCTGTTTTCATTTCTCACATGTCACATTCCGTGACATGCATTTGTTTCTTGGGAGAGACAGGAGCGCATAGCGGATGTGTCTGATGTCCAAGACCCCAAGCGCTTGGAGCCACACCCCGTGCTGAGAGGTCAGGACAGGCCAGGCAAAGAACAGCCCCAGTCTGCACTAGAGAGGAGTTTTATAAACTCACCTCTCTGATCCTCTCAGCTCACCTTGGGATGCGTGGAAATTAATAATGAAAGATCATTTTAAACTAGTTAGTGTTTTCAGGTGGGTAGATGATAACCTCTTTGTTAAAGAAATAGGAGTCGACCTATCAATGAAAGATGTGGTACTTAAATCTAGCAATCTTGGGGTAATGACAAATGTCAAAAAGTTCTCAGACTTCACCGCAGAACAAAAGTTTATTGGCGGCCATCTGAAAACTGTCACACTCCCAGAAGGAAAAGTCGAACAAAGATTGGCTCAGATTTACCCTTTCCTAGCTAAAAAGGCAATGTTTGACTATGAAGATGTTGAAATACTAGTAGGACGTCTCAACCATGTTTCTTACATCCTTCCACACTTGAGGTGCAACCTATGCTCTTTATACAGGTGGCTCAAATAGTGGATCTGGCGGAAGGCGAAACGCAAGACTCCGGTCAATGTCCTTCAAGACCTCGGAGTATGTGTAGAGACGCTACAAAATTTTGAACACACGCGTTTGATAAATTGGGGTCCTCCTTTAGACGTCGGGTGGGTAGGAGACGCCTCAACTTCCTTTGGAATCGGAATCCTTGTATAGGAAGACATTGGGCTCAATTTAAGCTTAACGACCCACAATCAAACCAAAAGAGGATTTCCTTGTTAGAAACTGTAGCTATACGTCTAGGCCTCCTCATGTTGTTAAAATTACGGGACCAGAAAGGGAAGTCTCTCATCGTCTGGACGGAAAACACGACTACAGAAATGTCAGCTTGCTACTATGGCAGAGACAACCTGTCATAGCAAAATAAAATAATAAATTACATAAAAAATCTAAGAATAAAGTAAAAATATTATATAAGTAAAAGAAACTGCTTTATTCATGTAAATAACATAAAAACACTTAAAATATACAAATAACTTAGTAAGTATAAAGAAAACTTTAATTATTATTGCAAATTCTAATTCTACGTACAAATTAACCTAGGGTACCTCAGCCAAAGGTACCCCCAATTCTCACTCCTTCACCCTTTAATACAACCTTGAATAATTAACTAGTACCCTTAGATCGTGGTCCCTGGATAACTTATGCATTATACACAACCAAATGCATGTACTCCAAATCTTGTCACAGATTTGGAGTGTTGTGTAAAGTTTAGAAGATAGTGTAGTGTGGGGTGTACTGTCTCCAAGCCCGCGCACCGCGTAGTCATGCTGCGCACAGTTGGCAGGCGCGCCTGACTAAAATTGAGCCCCAGGCTCAAGCCCCCGCACGTGCTAGGTATGCCTACCCGCCTTGGATACATGCATAACCCCCTCTGGGTTACCAGTATCCAAGGAATGGGCCACAAAGCCCCAGAAACGCACTGTGCACATGTCAACAAAGCCCCCACACGTGTAATAAAAATGTAAACAAGCTAGAATATTCATGAATACACTACAGTAACTCTGAATGTTCCATCTTCCAGTTTGTCGTACGTGTAACAAGCCCCAGAAACCAGTTCTGGCACATTCTGTGGCCCATTTCCAAGGGAATGACACCACGTAACAGACTAGCCCTTGCCCACAGGTTCCCAAGGTATATTCTTGGTTCAAATAAATTTGTGCATGACCCCTTGGAGCTTCTAGAATATTATCCCCAAGGTTTCAGCCCTTGTTGCTCCACTAAGTGGGCCAAAATGAGCCACAAAGCGCTCCCAAGTCCTACTAGGCTCCCCTGAGCAACCCCTGAGGCCTTCCACAGGTATTTAAAGGGCCTTCTGACCGCTCAAATAATGATCCCCCAGCTTTACAATACCTTATAGAAATTTACTTACCATTTACAAGTCTCCTACACTTGTAATTAGCCTAGTTACTACTATAATTGCTGTTATTAAGCCTCAAGAACCCTCAAGAAACTCCCCAGTGATCAACCAGCACCCAAAATCCACCTTTTTGAGCGCTTCCAACTGCCCAGTTTCTACTTTGAAGATCCTCAAGACCCTACAGGATTATTACTAGTGAGTAATAACCCTTTTCTTGAGATTTTCCCCATTATTTCTTACTGGGATTTAAACCACCCCTGTTTACAGGCCCCAGTGTACCAGGTACCTAAATCCTCTGCTTTTAGCATGATACCTTTGAGGGATATAACCACCCCTGATTTATCAGGCCCCTCAGGTTTAATTTGTATTAATTTTATTAGTATAAATTGGCCATTTTTTCTCTTAAAAATACCCATAAAATCCTTTCTTTTATTGGAATTTATTCCTTTGAAATTAAAACCAAAAATGTATAAGATTTTTGTTTACTCTTGCACCACGTGTAGCTAGAAGATTTTATATCTTAGCATCACGTAGGCTGACAAGAAAATAGCATCAATAATAAAAAGACTAAGGACACCGAAGCAAATGATGAATGGAAGAAGATTCAAGAGATAATATTGACTGAATTGGTTAATCTTGTAGCAAGAAGGGTCAAGTCAAAAGACAACAAGGCAGACACCTTGTTGAGAGGGCTATGGTCAGCCCAAAGCGTGAAGTTTCAGGTTGTAATTCCGTTGCCTTCAGACCTGCAGGGTCTGTTATCCCAGTTTTTTTTTACAATATAGATGTCCTTCCTTCACCATGTGTTCTCTTTCCTTCCTACTTGTCTTGCTCTGGTTCCTCTTGTCCTAATCTCAATGCCTGAACCAGTCAACTCTTTCCTATCCTCCATTAGGGATTTCACCCCCCAAGGACATTCGCTACACAACCCTAGCAAACTAGACCAGCACGTTTTGAACGGCCGGTCCAAATTGACTCTCAAAAGCAACAACTCCGCAGTGCGGAAGTTCCTAGCCTTTATTAAAGCCTCCCGGAAAACGCCTTCCATCTTACCGGCAACCAAAGACAATATCTATGGATTTTGCTTCTGGGCTGGGAAAAAGGATACCGACAAAGGTGAAAGCGGGGTGCTCAGCGTTACCCTCAAAAAGTACCTCCAAGGCCTGAAGGCCTGGAATATTTTTCATGACTCGCCATACCCACTGATCTCAGAGAAGAAGGTAGCCCTGCTATTGAAGTCTTCCCTTAAATTGGAAGCATTGGCTGCAAAAAGAGTCCCAAAAAATCCAGTGATGATAGAACACTTTGTGGTTCTGGCGAATGACCTGGCATCCGGGGATTTAGAGGACGCCGCAATACTTGACTTGGCGTTGGTGTCTTTCTGGAGCCTTGCGAGGCTGGGCGAGGTGACACATGACCAGTCCAACCCAGGCTGCAAGATCCTACAACATGACGTCACGGTCAGTCATGATGGCCGTTCAGAAAGCATTGAATTGAAAGAATCCAAGACAGCTTTACTGGGGGAATCACAGTTCCTCCAACTTAAGTTGGTGCCGAACTGCCTTTGCCCAGTCAGGGCTATGACACAGAGAATCTCCTCCTGGGGCCAGAGTGATCACATCTTTGGATATTCCAACAAAGGTCGATACCTAGCACTAATGAAATACTCAGTGAAGAGAAGACTATTGGCGATATGGACCACCCATGGCTTTGACGGGCTCTCCGGCCATTCTTTTAGAGTCGGCGGCACCTCTTTCCATAACGCCCTGGGGATCTCACCCACCCAGATTTGCAAGCTGGGTCGGTGGGCCTCTGTAAGCTACAAGCTGTACATTAGAGTATATTCATCAGATGATTTGTCATCCTCTCTGGAGACTTTGTCTCAACTAGATCTTCAATGGAGATTAACCTAGTTTTGTCACCTTTGTGCCGTGAGTTGTTGAATCCAGAGCAAAGTTTGGGGTTTTGCGCCAAGGCTCAGGCTTCTAACCTGAGTTCTGGTTCTAGCGCAATCCCCCACAACTCTCCTCTCTGCTTCAGGAAGAGGATCTCTTCCTCCATTTAGGCCCCCCTCACAGGTGGGCAATGGGTTAGAAGATGGTCTCTCCCAAGACCCTCACGTGCCCCTCCTGAAAACCCTAGATGACCTAGGGGACCAGGGAAGGCTACGGATTCCGCCACGGCTTAGGACAGCCAGGGCGGCACCTGGAAACCGTGCAGAGACGGAAATAGTGTAGTAGGATTGGACTCTCAGTTCTTATACTGGATTCATCTGTGCTTTGAAGGACTTCTTTTTCCTCATCCTTCCAACACATTTGTCTCCAGGTATGTTTCTCTCTTTTTCTTTCTTGCCATCTTTCTCTTCTCCATGTTGAAATGAACCCATCTTTCCAACAAATTTGTCTCCAGAGGATCCATCTCACCATTTCCTACACTTTAAGAGGTGTCAAGTTTGATGTTATTATATTCTGCCTAAAAAATAAATCTTCAATCTTAATATATGAGCTTACCCCTTTTCTTGCATAATTTGTACCACTAGAGATCAAGGTGGCTGCGCCGCTGTACTTTCAGGTTTGCTCATCTACTTGAATTTGATGCACACTCTCAAAATGAACATTAACCATAAAATCAACATGTTTTTCTACATCCCCTAGACATTAAATTTCATCCACTTTCCATTTTTCCCCCTGAATCTTTTTAATTTATGCAATTTGATACTTGGCATACTACAGCAGTGGCCATCTGGATACAGCTTTGACCTTGGTCAGGTCCATTCTCAGTTGGTTACAAGATATCAAAAGTCCCAAGTATTCCACTTCCGGCCTAGAGAATTCACATTTTTCAAGTTTCCGCCAAATTTGATGCTTGCTAAGGCCCCATTTGGACGCACAAAATCACAATATAAATTACACAATTTATATTGGGGGCTGCACCGGGTATCACACCAAATTATTTTGTGTTTGTGGCAACCAGAGATATCATACAAGTTATGACAAGGGGGTGCAAAACATTTATACCCCCTGCAAAATCAGAAATGCTGGTCCTGACCTGAAATTTCATTGAAATATCTGGCTGCTCTTGTTTCTCTACAAGTTCAATACCAGCCTGAACATACATCATCTCCACACCACTACCCATCATATCCATCAGAAACCATGGCCCGACCAAAATCAACTCAACCAAGTCCAAAAAAGCAAACCACAAAATCTAGATCCAATCCAGCCTCAATACCGGCAATCCAGCCCCAACAATCACACCAAAAAACCATGGCCAGTGGGACTCATAACTCCAAAAAATCAACACAAGCCAATCACAAGAAAAAACAGAAAAATCTCAAGCAAGCACTCAAATTCCCAGCCAGACCCCTGAGAACTGTTCAATCCAGCCAACCAACAGCCCTGAAAAGGAGAAGTCAAAGAACCTCGTCTGGACCCCACGCATGGAGCGAAGTGCGCTTGAGTTGTATTTCTGAGCAGTCAAGAGCGGCAAGCAAGGTAAAGGTGGATTCAAGCCCAGACAATTCCCTGGGTTGCCAGTGAACTCTTAAAAGAATTCTCTGGCACCCATTCACCTAGTCCAAGGTCCAATCAAAGTCTACTTACCTAAGTCCTCGTCGTGGAGGGGGACGCCTCCTCGCAGGACCTACTAGGAGGACTTTGCCAGCCATCTGCTGCTGAGAGCAATAGAGATCAGCGTTTTTTTATCACTTTCTGGGTCATCGTTTACATCGTGGATGAAGTCGCCACAAACGGAGGGGCCTTTCCAGGAGATTTGATCTCTGACTGAATGAGCTGGTGGGGTGACCCATTGCTGGCCCACTGAGCTTTTCATGATTGCTTTGCTCAGAGGTCTTTGGGAGGTGTCTCCTGTAGTAGGTGCCTCATCTGATGTACGAGACCTTCCACATGAATACTGTGGCTGGCCATCAATAGTAAATGGAGCATGAAACCACATATTATTGTGAATTCATCTCACTAGTGTTGAAGATCCTAGAAACTCAGGAACATACCGGAAGATAAAAAGGCCATCTTCCATGAACCCAAGAGACATGAAAAGAGTGATTGGCTATCATGCTGATGAGCTGGCAACACCGGGAGGGTCTAGAAAGATAGAGACCAGCGAGGCGATCAAGAAAATCGAAAAATTTGGAAAATTCAATCATACAAAATGGAGTAGGGATGATTACGAGATTGTCCCCGACAAATTTTCTAATGCTTTCAGGCCGCGGGGTCGCCTTTCCACGTAAGTCCCTCGCAATGCGACAAGTGGTTTACCACTCCAACAAAGGAGGGCAGGGACTTAGCTAAGTTAGAATCAAAGTACACTCAGGGGTTCAAGAAGAAATATGATGCATTTGTTGCTTGCAAAAGCGCAAGCGGGTTTGGTTGGAACAAGGCTGAATTGATGGTCACAGCATTGGAGGATTTTTGGAATGTGTTCTTGGTTGTAAGCTTGTCTCTTTCATTCATCTAATTTCCTATCAAATCTGATGTGCCTATTTGCTTTTCTGTAGTCTCATCCTGCTTCCAAGAAATTCAAAAATAAACCATTCCCTGAGTACAGCAACCATCAGATCATCTTCAAAGGTCACACCACCCAAGGAGACATGCAACAATTGTTGGGGATGGAAATTGCTGATGAAAATTCCTCCACTGTGCCTGGTGACACTGGGAATCTACCTGAAACCTCAGACTCAACTCGTGCACCTGCTCAACACTCTGGTGTCCGACCACCTCGCTGACACCACATCACATCTGGTGATTGGTTTGAAAACTTGATTGATTACCTCTTTGATGCATTTGTTGCATCCAAAGCAGAGATGGAATCACCCAAGAGCTCACCTATTCACCTAGCTACAGTCAAGTTTCAGGACAAATTTGCTGAAAATCTCAGCATGGACAAGCTTGTCACTGGTTTCACTGTTTTAGAAATTGAAGCCAAGGCCCAGTGCTTTCTGGCAATCAGGAACAATGACCATGGTTGGGCCTGGATTGACAGGCAGATTGAAACTAAAATGGCTACTGCCAATGAATCAATTTTACTTAGCCTCCTGTTTACATCATAAAAGAAAGCCTCCTGTTTAGATCATAAAAGAAAATAAAGCAATCTCATCTTCATACAAGAAACTACAGTGATCTCATCTCATTTCACTTGCTTTATGTTGCTTGTCTGTTTGTCCCTCTCAGTTTCATGATAATCCAAGAAGAAAAGTAATCTCAAAATGAGAAAAAAAGCAATCTCAAAAGTTGAAACAATCTGGTTTCATTTTATTTATTTATTCTTATATCCAAGAGACAAGATCTCAACGTTTAAAACAATCACAATCAATCCGGCCTTAGTTCAAGCAAATGTGCTGTTTCTTTGTTGAAGGTAGGTTGAGTACTGGCCCCAAATCTCCTGGGCTATTGTGTCCCTCCATAGCTTGTGTGCTGCTTGAGCTTGAGCTTGGATTAGTGAGTTTTCATTGGTGCCTTCAGTCTCATCATTGTTAGGTATCTCTTCCCCGTCAGGAGCTGCTCCAACATAATCACGGTCTTTAAAGTACTCCGATTGTCCGTTGTGTTTGATAATCACGTTGTGTAGAACCGCCAGGGCAAGAGCAAGATTGCCCTGAGTTGTTAAACTGTATTCTAATGGATGGACCAGGATTGGAAATCACTTCTTCCACGTTCCAAAGGTCCTCTCATCAACATTTTGAAGCATTGCATGCCTCATATTGAAAATTTCTTCCTTGTTGACTGGCCTAAAATTTCATTATTGTCATTGGTCAGTCAAGCATGTTGAGAGCTTCAAATAAAAAAACCTTGAACCAAGGGACATACCTCTGCCCCGCTTGGGCATTTTCACGCAAATGATACCAAAAACCACGGTAAGGGACAAGCATCCCCTTTCCAACAGAGTACCCAGAATCAGCAAGGTAGAACAAGCCGTTTGGTATGCTAAAATATTCAGACATCGCGCTTCCAAGGACTCTTGAGTCATGAGCCAATCCCTCCCAGCCAACCATCATGTAAGTGAAATTCTTATCAAAGTCAACCACCCCCAGCACGTTTTGAGACAACGTTCCTTTGGAATTTTGATAGAAACCAGCCATATGTTCAGGTACAAATGCCGGGGTGTGGCACCCATCCATTGCACCAATACATCAATCAAAGAATGGCAAGAATTTGGGAGTTTCCAAAATTGATTCCTGTGCTACTTTAACCCGAGGGGAAACAATGTATTTCTTCTGAAGTTGGAGGAAAAGATAGATGATATGACAAAATTCTTGGGATATTGTCTTGCCACTGTGTTGAAATTGATCCTGAGTTTGACGGTTGGTTGCATTTTGTCCAACAATATAAAGGAAGATTGCTAATTGTTCTTCCATACTAACAAGCTTGGAAACCTTTTCTTCATCAAGTTATAAAGCACAAATCTTGAAAACGTTGACTGATAATCGGAATATAGATTGAGCGCGTAGTCGGTTACCGTTCAAGATGTGTTGGACATAGGCATTGCCTGTCAAAGGGGCATTGTTGTAAGGTGATTTGATGGTCTTTGAACACTGTCGGAGGCTGATCAGGATAACAATAAAGATCATCATCTTTTTTTGTCGGAACAGCTGTTGTTGTTGGTGTTTTTTGAGTGAATTTGTACTTGTAGGCATTCTGAAGGGTGATAGATGAAATTTTTGGTGCAGCGGCCAAATGTAATCGTGATAAATGCAAAAATTTGTTTCCTTATGGCAATGCACCAAACACATGTGCTATAAATAAACTGAAGTAATTTCACGTGAGGTGTCATGATTTTTATTACAATATTTATTATTGAGGCTATGGCACCTAGAAAAGGTGATAAAAATGCAGAAGAGACTTCACGGCTTTGTTGACAAGAAGCTGAGACTACGTGTGAGGCCATGCTGCGGCAAGTTCAGGCCTGTAACGTACATGTTACAACAGCCCCCTTTTGCCGCAGATTTCCACCTACATACAAGTCTTTGTGCACTACATATAAAGAATAAGTAAAGAAAATAACAGCAAAACTATTCAAGAAAATTCATCTGTCACCCATCACTTTGCCACACAGATTATTAAAAGCATCTGGTGACAAACATTTAGTGAAAATGTCCGCAATCTGTTCTATTGTGCCAACCCATGTCAAAGTAGTCTTTTTCTGAAACAAAGCTTTGTTAGTAATATAGAAATCTCTTTCAAAGTGTCTGGTTATTTTGTTGGACGCATCATCCATTGCCACATGGACAGTTGATTGGTTGTCACAATGCAGATGCCCCACAAAATCTTATTTCAGAACATCTTTCAGCAGGTGTCTCACCCAGAGTGTCTGTCTAGTACCTACTCCCAAAGCCATATATTCTGTGTGAAAAGTCGATGATGCAACTGATTGTTGTTGCCTTGCTACCCATACAGGACCAGGCAGTTGAATACTGTAATGAAAATTCCATAAGATGACCTTGAGAATTCAATGCCCCAAGCCGCATCACAAAAAGTCTTCAACAGTTTTGAGTCAGTTTTTGGGAAGAGAGAGAGATTCTTATCCTTTGTTCCACCCAGGTAGTTAATAAGGTGTTTAACACCTTTCCAGTGTTCCACGCCCGGTTTCGCCTCAAAAAGCGCCAAATAATTGACTGCAAAACAAATGTCTGGTCTGGTTCCAACCACCAAATAGCTGAGAGATCCAATGATTGATAAATACTTCCCAGATTGGGTTGTATCACCGTTCAGATTGGTCATTGTGTTGAATTTTGCTGGAAGAGGCGTGCTCAAGATTGTCAAACCGTCCTAATGTTCCTCCAGTATTACCTTGATCAATTCCTTCTGATACAGACAGAAAACTTGCGAAGTTCTTTCCACATTCAGGCCTACAATTGTGTCTAAAGAATTGGACCACTTTATTTTCAGCACATCTTTGAGGTCAGCTTCCAATTGTTTGAGCAGAGTTTCACTGGAAGCAGTGACTACTCCATTGTAAAAATGCAGCCAAATAACACCAGACCTAGATTCATGACGTAAGATATACAGAATGTTGTCATACTGTGACCGTACATACCCAAGTTTGTTCAGTATGTCATAAAGATGGAGCCACCAGCACCTAGCTGCCTGCCGTGTGCCATACAGGGCTTTCTGTAGCAACAATCCATGTCCAGGCGGTACATTTAGGCCCTCTGGAGGCTTCACCCACACTTCTTCATGAATTGGTGAATTCAGATAGGCTGCTACAAAATCAAAACTGTGTACCGGCCAATTGTTCTTTCCGGCTATGGCCAACAAGATCCGAAAAGCCACAAATGTCGCCGTTGGTGCAAAATTTTCATTGAAATCCAAACTGGCCACGTGTTTAAAACCCTTTGCTACAAAACGCGCTTTGAAACAAACACCTGACCCGTTGACATCAGGCTTGGTAGCAAAAACCCATTGTCCGTTAAGAGCTTTCTTGTCCTGTGGCATGAGTCGTACTAACCAAACACACATCTGTTCCAGATTGTTGAGCTTGACCGCAATTGCCTTTGACCAACTGTCTTTTTCTGGAGAATTCATTGCCTGCTTAAAAGTTTTAGGAACAGAAATGGTGTAAAACTTGCAAAGTTCAGTGATCTTATCAATTATCAGTTCTTGGTCATGAAATTCAATTTCTCTGGTAAAATCACCAAGTTGCATTAAATTCATAACAAAATCAACATTGATCCTGGTTGACGCCTGCTGAAGTGATGGGTCACAATGAACATGGCTTTATTCTTCACTGTTGTTGTCTAGGTTGTCTCCTGTTTTTCCTAATCCAGTGAAATGAGAATGTTCAGTGTCTATAAAATTTACCAGAGCCCAGTCCACAAAACAATTTTCTTTAGGCACCCAGAACTTCCATCCCTTGCTAGTCTTGAGATGTGCTACAACCTGCCCCTGTAACGCCCTGGCATCCAATTTCAGTCTGTTTTCTGTTGGAACATGGACATAAGCCCAGCTTCCAAAAGTTTGAAACCTGTCAAAATGGGGTTTGATACCAAAAAGCGCCTTGTATGGTGTGATCTTTCCACTAGTCTTGTTTGGAAGCCTGTTGAGAATCTGATTAGCCCGCTGAAAAGCAAAACACCAGAATGACTTTGGCAAAGCGCTATCGATTAACACTGTCCAACCCATTGCCTGTACCGTCCTGTTGAAACATTCAATCACTCCATTTTGATGGTGGTGGTAAGGCAGCGCCTGTTTGGTCCCTATGCCTTTGTTGGAAAGAAAATCAGCCAAAGCCTTGTTGATAAACTCACCCCCATTGTCACTATGAAGCATCTTGACCTGCAGATGCGTAATCCTTTCCAGCCTCGTAATTGTGTCCATTATCACCTTATTAGAGTCAGATTTAGCCTTAATGGGCTTGACAAAACAATAAGCAGTACCCACATCTCTCATAGTCAGAAGATACATGCTTCCATCAACACCCTCAACTTCAAATGGTCCAATGAGGTCAACAGCCATAATTTCCAGTTTAGATATATCCCTCTTAGTGGAGGACAGAGAGTTAAGAGCAGTACTTTTGCTTATGCCACATACCAGACAGTGGATAGAACCAGCCGGCAGTTTAGTTGGAAGTCCTTGACCTAAGTTTTCTTTTATCAATCGACGTAAGTTCCTGAGTCCAGCATGTCCAAACACACAATGCCAAAAGATGAGTCACTTTCTCATCTTTGGTCAAAGATTTGGTTTCCACTTCCATCCTTTGACTGTGATGAATGGCTCTTTGAAAAGGTCT